CTTGAGAAAATGTTTTTTCTCTCCATGTGACTCTCCCCAGGCACACTATACATCATCGAACACATTCCTCTGCAGCTCCATAATCTTCTTGATCAGAAAATTTGGAGCACAACTGAGTTACATGTTGTTACAGTACAGATTCTCCTATATCCCAAGTCTTCACTGACCTTGAAAGGCTAGGGCCAAAATGTTGGCTGACCTTGCAAACCTTCCTTTTCTCCCATTTTGAACTGCTAACTTAGGTTGTTAACCCTCCAGAAGAGAAGCTAATTATTACCTGCAATATATGCAGTTCGGTTTACCCTGTCTAAATATCAAACATTTTTGGCATATCATTGAACAGGTATTTTCCATCAAATATTGATATGTTGAACTTCCAGTCCTTACAGAATATGAAGGAAAAATAATTTTATAAAAGTAGATATAAGCATTTACATATTTTTACAAAGAAATTTAGAAACTTAACCATATACGAAATTGTAAGTCCTTATGCTAGGGATATAATATAATATTTATAGATGTGGGTCTGCTTTATTTCACTAATAAGTATATCTTCAAGTGGCATCTACTTAAATATGAAGGCTTTGAGTTTATCATTCTTTATAGCTGAGTAATACTCCATTATATAAAAGTACCACATCTTTTTCAACCATTCCACATGTGATGGGCATCTTGGTTGTTTCCAAGATCTGGCTATCACAAATTGTGCTGTTACAAACATAGGTATGCATATATCACTATGATATGACACTTTCAGTTCCTCCAGGAAAATTCCCAGTAGAGGAATAGCTGGTTTAAATGGAATTTCCAGTCCTAGTTTTCTAAGGAGTCTCCACACTGATTTCCATAACAGTTGCATCAGTCTACACTCCCACCAACAGTGGAGAAGGGTTTTCCTTTCCCCACAGCCTCTCCAACATTTGTTGTTGGTTGATTTCTTCATGATAGCCAATCTTTCTGGGGTGAGATGGTATCTCAGTGTTGTTTTAATTTGCATTTCACAGATGGTTAATGATGAGGAGCATTTTTTCATATATTTATTCGCTTCTTTAATTTCGTCCTCTGAGAAGAGTATGTTCATCTCAGATGTCCATTTCTGGATTGGGTCTTTAAATTTAGGGGTCGCAATGTTCTTTAGTTCTTTATAAATTCTAGAGAGCAGTCCTTTGAGTGCTTATTAGTTAAGATCTTTTTGAAGTTTGTGGGTTGTCTTTTCACTTTGCTGATAATTTCTTTTGACGTGCAAATCTTCTCAATAAGAGGTGGTCCCAGTTGTTAATTCTTTCAAGTATTTCCTGTGCGATTTGATTTCTATTCATGAACTCTTTGCCTACCCCTATGTCTTCAAGAGATCCTCCTACTTTCTCTTCCAGGAAATTAGTGTTTCTGTTTTAATGTTCAGTTCTTTAATCTGTTTGACTTTAGTTTAGTGCATGGTGATAGACCTGGGTCCAGTCTTAGTCTTTGGCATGTAGAGAACCAAATTTTCCAGCACCATTTGTTAAAGAGACTATCTTTCTTCCAGTAAGTGTTTGGCCCCTTTGTCGAAGATCAGGTGGCTTAGTGCATTCCTAGAGGTCTCTGCATCTACTAGTCTATTCCATTGATCCTCAGGTCTATTTTGTTGCCAATACCATGCTGATTTTATTACAGTAGCTTTATAGCATAATTTCAAGTCAGGAATTGTAATGCATCCTGCTTTGTCTTTGTTGGCCAGGATTTCCTTTGCTATTCTAGGCATTTTTTGGTTCCAAATAAATTTTAGGAACAATTTCTCTAGGTCTGGGAGGTATTTTGCTGGTAGTCTCATAGGGATTGCATAAATCTACACAACAATTTTGGGAGTATGGCCATCTTCACGATGTTGGTTCTTCCTGTCCAGGAGCAGGGAATATCTTTCCATTTTCTGAAATCCTCTACGATCTCTTTCTTCAGAGTACTGTAATTTTCCATGAAAAGATCTTTGATTTCTTTAGTTAGATGAATTCCAAGGTATTTCATTTTTTGCGGGGCTATTGTAAAAGGTATTGTTTCCCTAATTTCCCTCTCAGTGTGTTTGTTATCTGTGTAGAGGAATGCTATTGACTTTTGGGTATTGACTTTGTATCCTGCTATGCTACTGAATTTGTCTATGAATTCTAGTAGTTTCTTGGTGGAGCTTTTTGGGTCTTCCAAATAAAGTATCATGCATCCGCAAATAATGATAGTTTCACTTCTTCTTTACCTATTCTTATTCCTTTTATTTCTCCCTCTTGTCTAATAGCTCTAGCTAATGATTCCAGAACTATATTGAAGAGGAGGGAGGATAGAGGACATCCTTGTCTTGTACCTGATTTGAGAGTAAAAGATTTCAGTTTTTCCCCATTGAAAATTATATTAGCTGCTGTTGGGTTGTTATAAATGGCTTTTATCAGATTGAAGTAGAGGCCTTCTATTCCAATTTTCTGCAGGACTTTGAACATGTATGAGTGTTGGACTTTGTCAAAAGCCTTTTCTGCATCAATTGAAATGATCGTGTGGTTTTTAGTTTTCACTCTATTGATATAGTGTATTACATTTATAGATTTTTGAATATTGAACCATCCTTGCATGAATGAATGGGATGAATCCTACCTGGTCATGGTGTATGATCTTCTTGATGATTTGCTCTATTTTATTTGCTAGGATTTTATTGAGGATTTTTGCATCTACATTCATGAGGGATATTGGCCTGTAGTTCTCTTTCTTAGTTGTGTCTTTCCCTGGTTTTGGTATCAGTATAATACTTGCATCCAGGAATGATTTTTGGGAGGACTGCTTACTTTAAAGTGTGAAATTAGGGCCTTATAAAAGCAAATAGTAAAACAAACTCTCAAGCTAAAAAGCGTTCATTTATTATATTCTACATTGTAAACCACTTCCTTTTCCAGATAAGAGAAGCTAAGAATACAGAGGAATTAGATACTCTAAGTTTCTTAAACATAAACATGCCTACTAAGTAATTAGGTGGACACTAATAATTAAGAGATGAACAAGTATAAGACCAAATTTAGTAGTAGTACTTACCACCACCTGTTAATATTGCGTTTATCCCCCCTTTAGAATAAAAGCTCCAAAAAGTACCTGGCACATAGTAGGCACTCAAATAAGTAAACACTGAATAAAATTAATCAATTCTGCTCTTTTTATGTGAAACATCCTATGTGGGAAACTCATGTTATTAAATGCAAAACTGAAAAGGATATATTTACTATCGAGATCACTTTTAAGAGTGTTATACCTACACCATAATCTTTAATTCATAGGATTTGCTTCAGTACATGAGATAAATTTACAGGGATGGTAAATTTACAGGGATGCACATTACTTTTTATTTATGTTGTAAACAGTACCAATAATATCTACTTTTTTCTTTTTCAAAATCTTTGAAGCTAAAACTAATTTTGGATTTTTTGAGATAGCTGCTAGACTTCATCATCTCTTTCCTTAAATGTGACTTTAAAATACTGTTCTCACTTTCTAAAACAGAAACATCTGGAACTTTTCTAAACTTCAAATCTTGGTATTAAGATATCATATTAAATGTATAATGACCTCTGGGAACTTTTTATGAAAAAAGCTGACAATTAACTTTATGAAGAGGTTCTAGGGGCTGGAGAGATGGCTCAGTGGTCTAAAGCACCTACTTGAAACAAGTTTGGCAAAGCACAGGGACC